GTGTATTTAGGGTTTTCACTCTGCACGTGAGCATTTGAGCGTCAGAAGTTCTCAGAGGCAGTTACCAGACGTGTGCTGTCCTCTTTTCAGTGCCATGTCCAAGAGGCACTTAAACGCCTTACAATGGGGGACTGCTGAGTGCTGAAAGCAGTTGCTGAACGTTGCTTGTGGCTTCAGTGATAGCTAGCTAACTCTGTTCTAAATGATGTCTATCGTTGTTGATCTAATTAGCTATCCATCCAGAAACAGCAAAAGTTGCAGCCTCCATCCATTTCCCACAGACTTCTTTCAAGTGCAATGATATATGCGTCTTTTATTCATGGTAGGTAGCTCCTGCCTTATAATCCAGCTCAACCTAACACACATCTCGAACTTCCTTTTGAAGCTAATGTTCCAAATCTTTAGCTTTTTTATCTGTAATGTAAGGAAACAAACAAAAAGGCTATACAACCAAGGACAAAGAATAATGCCTCGAGAGCTAAGTGACCATGTTATGTAGAAATCCTCACAAATCAGGAGCTCACAGTACACAGAACACATCTGTCATCCAATACCGTTTTCAATTTCAATTTTCAACATTGAAAAGAACACACCTAGCGAAATGTTAAATAAGGAGCTCTTTACCTGTGTGGGGGGACATCTTGTCCAGCAACTTCACCATCCCTTCTCCTTGCTTGGACGTCCACATCTTAATGGGGGACCCGCCACCAATCCTCCGGTACTGCTCTTGGATTCTGGGGGTTCGGCGTTTGGCGATGATTGGTGCCAGCTTACTAAATCATTTAACAGGTAGGTAAGCTGATTTTATTCCACCTTAGCAACCCAAGAAACATTTTCAACTCAATTAAAAAAAAAGGTAAGCAGAATTTTAAGAAAAGCCTAACAAGATCAAGACTTTAAAAATAAAAGCTTCAGGTCATGGATTACAGCCAGCTCTTTGGTGCAGATAGAGACAGCGAGCTGGATACTCCTAAGGAGTATGCACCTCTGCTCCCCAAGCTGTGCTGGCAGGACACCCCGAAGATTCAGGACACCAAACAACCCACAGACAGCCCTAGCTAGTACCTGTGGATCTTGCTTCTAGCAGGAACTAGGATATAAAACATAGGAAGCACACATTCCTATTTATAAAAATACCTATAAATCTTATATATCAGTGAAACACAGACTAAATAAATTAAGGTACGACCATATATGCAATTCTATAGTCATGACAAAAATGAGTCAGGTCTATTTAATCTGTTATAGAACAATCTCCAAGATACATGGCGAAGTTTAAAAAAACAAATAGTAAAATGTCAAACAATGTATAGAATACATTCACATTTGTGTAAAAAAGAGGAGGACACATACACTTATGGAATCCCTCAGTGATGCACACAGTTAATGCGCTCAGTGGCTAACCAAAAGATTGGGGGTTCCGAGTCCACCCAGAGACACCTCCGAAGAAAGCCCTGGCTATCTACTTCCAGAAAATCAGCCATTGAAAACCCTATGGAGCACAGTTCTACTCTGAGACACAATGGGTAGCAACCGGTACTGGTACTGGAGTGTGTGTGTGCACGTGTGTGTGTGTGTGTGTGTGTGTGTATATAAAATTATACATACAGATATATACATATATGTACACATACATGTATACATACATATGTGTGCATGGACTATTTCTGGATGTAACAGTGCTTGTTTTGGGGGTGGGTAACTGGGACACAAGTCCAAGGTAAAAGGGACACTTGTTTTTTACTGTAAATACTTCTATACTATTTACATTTTTTATCACATGCATGTATTAATTTTTCTTTACAAAAACCTATTTTAAAAGAAAAAGGAGAGAAGGAAAAAGGGAGAGAAGGACAAGAGGAAGAGTGGAAGGACAGCATTCACAGTACAAATGAATAATTGTTTTACTGAATGCTAATCAGCTGTTAAATGCAAGGTACAAATATATCTTTAAAGGTACTTCCACTGTGCCAGGTCAAGACAACCACAATGTCCAGGGCTCTGGGAGGAAAGGGCTCAAGGAGAATCCTCACTAACTTGCTTTTTCTCTCTCCTCTGCAAGTCTTCCAAAATCATGTCCTTCTGATCTTTAATAGGAATTAATAATGCCACTCTAACCACTACCAGATATCTGGTAAAACCTTTAAAGAAAAAAAAAAACCCATAGACCTGAGACACAAACTTAGGCAAAACACACTGCCTAAATTACAAAAAACGGAGAGGTGTTTATACGTATCTTACTTTTGCAGCGGCAGCGTCATGAGGTCTCGATCCAAGAAAAGCCTCAGCAGGAAGTCGTGAACATCTCCAAGGGTTTCAGGGCCTCCCATGTTTAGCATTAATATCCCGGTTTTGGGCTTCCTACATAAAATAAAATGCAATGGTTGATCGGAAACACTTTTTATTTTCCTCTAGGGTGGAATCTTGGTTCAGCGAGCAAGCTCTCATCTAATCCATGGGATGCAAAGGTCAAGGCTACAGACTCTCATGGCCGCCTGTCCATAGGGACACTCGGGCCTCTGGGCCTCCGTGGTCCAGCTTAGGCTATGGCCTTCATCCCCCAGTTCTATCCCTGGCACTGGTCCACTGATCTGCATTTGGCTGGAAATGTTTCTCTATTCAAGTGTCAGCCTGAACAAAGATCCCTTCCTCTTGGGGTCTAAGAGTCAAGGTAGAAATCTAAAACTGCCCTGAGGCTGAAGCACCTGTACACGTGGATGCCTTATGAATACACAGGTTATTTAACATTTAACATCTCCAGACTTCAGTGTCCTCATCTGTAAAATAGAGTGCCACACCCACCTCAAAAGGTTGTTTTGAGAATTACATCAAGGTGCGTAGGTGGCGTAAACGGTTCGTGCTCGACTACTAACCTAAAGTTTGGTAGTCCAAACCCACTCAGCAGCAGCTTGAAAGAGGGGCCTGGTGATCTGCTTCCGTAAGATTACAGCCAAGAAAACCCTATGGAGTAGTTCTACTCTGTCACATGGGGTCGCCATGAGTCAGAATTGACTAGATGGCAAAGGGTTTGTTTTTTTTTTGTTTTTTTTGGTACTTAAGTCAGTGAGCATAGTATCTGACACACAGTAAGTTCCACTATACACAGAGAAATCTTGGGTTTCCCTATAATTTTAAACCAAAGTATAAACCAGCCCATCTCTCTCTCTATTGCCTGCTCCTCTCTCTTTAGTCCATTACTAAGTTATCATTAAATTATTTCTTGCTACTCTGCTCTCTTCTCCAGCCCCTGCCCCTACTTCTTCCTCAGTGTTTCCTGCTACGATAAACTACATTTCTCACTTTACAATCACCCCTCTCCATCCGTCATTTAAACCCAAGTCTTCAGATAATCCCTGCAAAAAATTGCTCTAACTTACTCATTCAAACACTGAATGAACAGGAAGAAGCAAAAGGAAAGTAAAACTCCATAACAAAAGTTTTAAGTCAGGAAGCTTCTAGGAAATTAAAAAAATAGAAGTACTATGTAAAAATGTAAACTTAAAATTCAGAGCAGCTCTGGAGCCCCACAGCCCAAAGTGAGCCAGACTGGGAAGAGTTCGCTACTCCTAAGCCCCGCCAGGGGGCGATGGGGAGCCACAGTGGGGCCAAGCACCTCCCACAGGCCAAGTGAGTTCTGACAGTCCCAAGAACATGACAAGACTGCAGCGCCAATCACATGGCGGGGTAGGGTAACTAAAGGCCAAAGAGTGTTTCTTCCATTTACTCTTTTTGCGTTTTCTGTACTTTTTAAAATTGAGATATAATTCATTTACCATAAAATTCACCACTTTAAGTGTACAATTCAGTGGTTTTTCGTATATTCCCAAGGTTGCGCAACCATCACCAACTATCACCTCTTATATAATTCCAGAATATTTTCGTCATCCTCAAAAGAAACCCTGTATCCATTAGTTGCTCACCATTCTCCTACTTCCCCCAAAACAAAAAAACCAAACCCGTTACTGTCAAGTCAATTCCGACTCATAGCAACCCTATAGCACAGAGTAGAACTGCCCAATAGGGTTTCCAAGGAGTAGCTGGTGGATTCAAACTGCTGATCTTTTGGTTAGCAGCTGAGCTATTAACCACTGCACCACTGGGGCTCCCCACTTCCCCCAGTCCCTGGAAAATACTAATCTACTTTCAGGGGGGTCTATGGATTTGGCTCTTCTGGACATTTCATATAAATGTAATCATACAGTATGTGTCCTTTTGCTCCTTTTTTCATTTAGCATAATATTTTCAAGGTTCATTCCCATTGTAGCATTATCAGTACTTCGCTCCTTTTTATGGCTAAGTAATATATCATTGTATGGATATACCTTCTGTTCATTCTTGATAAAGCAGCTGAGAAATAACCAGTCTGAGGTTTATTCAAAACCAAACCCACTGCCATGGAGTCCATTCCGACTCAAAGCGACCATATAGGACAGAGCAGAACTGCCCCATAGGGTTTCCAAGGAGTGGCTGTTAGATTCGAACTGCTGACCTTTTGGTTAGCAGCCAAACACTTAACCACTGAGCCATCAGGGCTCAAGATTTATCCAAAACACCATTACTACGAATGCTGAGGGGGTCCACTTCCTACATCAGACCACTTCTATCTCCCAGCTTCTAAACCAAACCTGCTGACATGGCTCTCATTTGGATGACAATTCTCAATGTGTTCTAAAACTAATGAGGTTATGATGCCATTTTAATTGGCAATTTTGTAAACAACAGCTAACAACAACTGGCAATAACGTAAAGTAGCAGACTATTAAATTTATACAGGTGGAAACTGTTCTCTTGATCAAACACACTGTGCGTGAATGAGGCAGAACTCTGAACTCTCAGACTAGGTTTCAGAATGAGAACCAATTCCTAGGAAAAGGGAAATGTCGCCTTGCAATGAGGTAAGGGATTTTTCTAATTTAGACCCCTTATAAAGATTAACTAAAAAGGACCCCTCGTGGTGCAGTGGTTAAGTGCTCGGCTGCTAACTGGAAGGTCGGTGGTCCGAACCCAACAGCCGCTTGGCAAGAGAAAGAGTGGCAGTCTGCTTCCACAAAGATTTACCGCCTTGGAAACCTTATAGGGCAGTTCTACTCTGTTCTATAGGGTCACTATGAGTCAGAATCGACTCAATGGCAATGGGCAATTTTTTTTTTTTTTGCTTTAATGAAAATTAATTAAGATTACTTTTCACATTGTTGCCCTAGATCAGGGTTTCTCAACCTCAGCACTATCGCCATTTTGTAAGGGATAATTCTTTGTTGTGGGGGTTGTCCTGTGCATTGTAGGATGTTTAGTAGCATCCTGGCCTCTATCCATTAGATGCCAATAGCAGTAATTCCCCCTGGCAGCTGACCACCAAAACTGCCTCCAGACATTGCCAAACATCTCCTGGGGGGCGAAAATGTACCCCACCCTCTGTCGAGAACTTTGTCTTGAAGGAAGGGGATTCTATTTCCCTTTGCTAAAACAAACAATTACATTTCAAACATCGTTTTATAACTTTTCCACCTGCTCTGACCAGAGAGCAAGGCCCTGGTGGTGCAATGGTTAAGCACTCGGCTGCTAACCAAAAGGCTGGCAGTCTGAACCCATCAGCTGTTCTTTGGAAGAAAAAAGAGGGAGTCTGCTTCCATAAAGATGAGAGCTTTGGGCAGGGAAGGACAGGAAAACTGGAAATATGGACACGGGGAACCCGGGGTGGAAAGGAGGACAGTGCTGACACATTTCAGGGATTGCAACCAATGTCACGGAACAATTTGTGTATACATTTTTGAATGAGAAACTGATACGCGCTGTAAACTTTCACCTAAAGCACAATTTAAAAAGAAGAGACATAGCCCCTATACTCAAGAAGTTAATGGACTATTGGCTAAATAGCATTATCTATTGAATAAATTATTAACTAATTAAAAAAAAAAGATTACAGCCTTGAAAACCCTATGGGGCATTTCTACTCTGTCCTGTAGGGTCACTATGAGTCAGAATCAACTTGCTAGCAACGGGTTTTTCAGACCAGAAAAGCTATCACTAAATTAACAAACTGGTGTTTAGTTTTCTTTTCTTGATACCTGAAAATCCTAGATTTATTATTTTGTGAGTATAATGTTCCTTTAATCTTTCTACTTAGTCCACCAGTGTTCTCCTGGGATCCTATCTTTCTCCCTTAAAATCTGTGACTCACACTAAATTAAGTGCATTTTTCCATGGACTGCTGCCATTTAACAGATTACTGGTTAGAAACCTCAGGCGAAGGGATGTACCTAAGCCACAGAGGGTATCAGCATTCAAACGGGATTTAGAACTGTGTTTTTCATCTACAACACCTGAGCTCAGAACAAGCGCCGCTTTAAATGGGACATTACTTGGCCCTGCTCCCAGTTTTGCAAACCCATTTGATCTTATCCATGAAAGAGAAGCACGGGATTTGAAAATAACTAAATACGCGTGCACTTAATTCAAAACTGTGTTGTGCATGACGAATGGCGCATTAGTAAGCCCTGGTCAACACCCCCATCCCAGAATGTGAAGTGCAAAGCTTTAGTCAAGGGTCTCTGTCTCTTCCCCCCTCCAGAGAGGGCACATCTGAGACCAAGGTCTGAATGGCCAAGGTCCCTTTGTTTAAACGCAAAAGTACCAGCAGAAAAACATACTTAAAACTTGTCACTTGCAAATGTTTCAATGTTTTGCCATTTTTATATGCTGGGACTCTCAAAATATGAGGTTTTACCTTAAAATTATTAAATGTACATAACAGAAATTTAAACTGATCAATTAATAAATAAACAGTAACTCCAATCTACTGTATATAGACAGCATCAAGAAAAAGAAACAAAATCTCAGCTCTTCATCAAACCTAAAAGATGTGATTGGCCTGTGGCTCTACACTGCCTCTAGAACAGGGGTTGACAAACTAAGGCGCTCGGGCCAAATCTGCACCCTTCCTCCTGCCTGTTTTTTAAATGAAGTTTTAATGGCCCACGGCTGCTCATTTATTTATCTGCTATATTACCTGCTGCTGCTTTTACGTTATAACACCAGAGTAAATGCAACAGAGACCATATGGCATGCAAGGCCTAAAATACTTACCATATTTTTATGCAAATAACCTCTGCCTTCTACATTTGTTTGCTAACCATGCTCTCCCCGCCAACCGCTAGGTATTTTCATAAGTGCTGCTATGCCAATTTTTTTTCCTACATCTTGCTGTAAAAAAATTAGCATAGTGCGCTTACCAAAATACCTTAAGGGGAGAGGGCATGGTTGGCAAACAAATGTAGAAGGCATAAAAATATGGTACTACCTGGACATTTACAGAAAAAGTCTAATATCTAGTGTCTCGACTTGTCTATACTAGGCTAGTCTAAGACTAAGCAGCCCAATGCATCTGCAAGGTGTGTCATCAGAGGATCACAAAGACACACATCACATCATTATTTCTAAGATCCCAAAACTGGAAATAACCTATATGCCCCACAACATGGAACTGGACAAATAAATTATGATCTAATAAAATACTCTCAAGTTATTAAATGAAGTTTTAATATTTAGTTTGCTAGGATGGCATATTATTGAGTAGTTACAAATGTAATATGCACAGTATAATCACATTTTGGTAAACATGTACTGAGTGAATGTTGATTGATAGAGACAAAATACTGGCTGGTGCGATTATTCATTTTTTTATTTATTTTTGCCTGTCCTTATTCTTTAGATTTTCTACAAACGAACCCATTTCTTCTGTATAGATGTGACATAAAGTTACTTAGTAGAATTCTGTATTTAATGTAATAATTTAATATTAAGGCTACATATATTATTTTTTTTAACACTAGGAAAATGTAATGAAATAATTTTTCTTCGAGGCTTTTACAGAAAATCAGTTCTTCACTTTACAGCAAATATTCCAAGCTTAAATACTGAAGGCACTTTGTAGTATGGTTGAGGTGGAAAAAGAGGAGCCAGTCCCTACCCATCCACCTTACCAGACTCGACCTTTTAAGAGGACACAGAAGCAGAGGAGACGACTTAAGGCTCACCTCTAATGCCTTATCCCAAAAACCTCAGCTAACTTAGTACTCAATCAATGTACCCATGACGACCCAATGAAAAATCTTTCTTCCAGTTGCTGTGGAGTTGATTCCAACTCATGGCGACCCTATGTGTGTCAGAGTAGAACTGTGCTCCATGGGGTTTTCAATGGCTGATTTTTTGGAAGTAGATCGCCAGGTGCCTCTGGGTGAACTTGAACCGTCAACCTTTTGGTTAGCAGCCGTGCACCACAAGGGACTCCAAAATAAAAATAGCAAATGCAAAACAAAAATATTTTACTTTCATAACTATATGATGCCTGGTCTAGCAGAAAGGTGAAAGAGCGCAATAGTTCACAGCTACTTTCTTCCATTCACTCTGCCGAGTTCAGAGCACTATTTCTAGGTATGTATTCACCTAACGAACGACCATTTATGAAGCCGCTTGCTGCCTCTGTTATCTGAGGATGACCTGAAAACAGCTGTGGCTTCTGCTATAGAAGAGAACACTCGGTACCTACGCCATGCCTGCTGACCCACATCAGCAAACAGAAAAGATGAGGTATGAATGTGTACTTTACTTCCTTAATAAATTATAAATCCTATTATGTCATCTAAGGAGCCCTGATGATGAAGTGGTTAAGCACTTGACTGTTAGCCGAAAGGTCAGTGGTTCAAACCCACCAGCCATTCCACAGGAGAAAGATGTGTCAGTCTGTTTCCATAAAGATTACAGCCTTGGAAACCCTATGGGGCAGTTCTACTCTGTCCTATAAGGTCACTATGAGTCAGAATCAACTCAACAGCAACAGGCTTTATTTTTGGTTAATTATGTCATTTATAATTATGCTCACTGTGTTACCAGATGAAAACCAATGGTGGAGTTCGCTACAGAAATCTTCCACAGATCGGTTGCTCTTTATGCTGCACAGAACATGGAGTTCGTAGGTATTAATTATGTTAGACTCATAAATACATATAACTTGTGTAATGTGACATATTTAAGAACCAAATTCCCGCGTGACTTGCAGACTGTACTCAGCTATGCATCCTTTAATAAAAGCCCAATGTGGGGGATGGGGGATAAAATCTGTAGTCTAACAGCTGTTGAAAGAAAGCCAAAAAAATAATAATCGAGCACTCCGATGTATTGAGTTTTCCCAGCACCTTTCCTGCTAGGTAGCGTGTATCCATCAGTGTTTGCATCAATAAAGAGAAGTCTTTATTTGTGCCTAAAATTAGCTTCATACCTCTTCTCTGGGTGAACTTGAGGTTTTGTGCTTTTGACCTGTCGGGCTGTTTCCGTGGCTGTTGCTGCGGCCGCTGCCCCCGACTGGCACCTCCACTGCTGCTGTACCCTCGAGCTGCCGGGCACCACTGTGACAAAATTAAAGCACAGCATGAAACCTGGGGGAAGCAATTTCTTTTGAAGAGGTACTCGGCCCCTAATTCCTGGATTTAAAATTTAGAGAAATGCTATGCCAGAGATGATTCACCCAGCATTTTCTTGCAAGCGGGTGGAGGCACTTAAGGTGGGGAGTCTCCAAGGAGATGGGGTGCCGGCTCGCTCCCTTAGGATAGGACGGCTTTTCAGAATCTTCAGGGAGGCTTTGTAGAACCATATGCGCCTCCTCTCCCTGCCTCAGCTTTAGATTCTGATATGATCCCTTAGGAGACTCCCTGCACATTATAAAAGTTCTAAAAGTAACTGATGGTAGCACAGGTGAAGAGCCCACAGTAAAGGTAAAGAAAGCCTGGTCTGAGGAGTGGACATGGAAACCTTCTCTAAGTCACTGCACAGGTCTCATTTCTGCCCACAGGCCTCCCCCAAGAGCACCAGCTCTCAGTGCTTGGCCTTGGCAAGAGGTCTCTGGCCCTCCTTCTGTTACACTCACCCACAGAGATGGAGTCTGCACGGCCCAGGAGACATGCCTCCCTCCAGACCAGGCTCCAAGTACCCAGAACCCCAGAGCTCTCTACCCCTCAGGCCCCCAGGCCACTTCCAGAGTCAGTGCAGGCCTCTTTCCTGGGTCCGTCCTCCTGCCATCAGTATAAGCAGTTCTTGACCTGAAGGGTGGCCAAGGGTGGCTGTTTGCAGGGGCAAGGATGGAGCTGAGACATGTAGACTGGCGTGTCCACATGTGTATGCACAAGACTCTTCACGATGCAGGACAGCGCCAGTGATGGGATGAGAAGCAGGGGAGGCTGCTGGCCAGAGGCCACTCTCCCAGGCCGCCCTGCGTCTGAAGGAACGCTGAAGAATCAGTCTGTTCTTCCAGGTCGTGATGAAGGTGTATTTGTCAAAGCAGGAGGGCAGAAAATACTTAACATTTGGTTTTTTTAATACCACATATGGAGGCCTGGTGGCACAGTGGTTAAGAGCTTGGCTGCTAACCAAAAGGTCAACAGTTCAGATCCACCAGCCATTCCTTGGAAACCCTATAGGGCAGTTCTGCTCTGTCCTATAGGGTCACTATGAGCCAAAGTTGACTTGACGGCAGCGGGTTTTGGTTTTTTTTTTTTCTTAATACCACACATGCAGCCCTGGTGGAGCAGTGGTTAAAGCGCTGGACTGCTAACCGAAAGGTCAGCAGTTTGAAACTACCAGCAGCCCCACGGGAGAAAGATGTGGCAGTCTCCTGCCATAGAGATTTACGACCTTGGAAACCCTATGGGGTCGCTATGAGTCAGAATCCACTCAATGGCAGTGGGTATACCACATATAAGGAGCCCTGGTGACACAGTGGTTAAGTGCTAGGCTGTTAATCAAAAGGTCAGTGGTCCAAACTCACCCAGTAGCTCTGTGGGAGAAAAGACCTGGAGACCTGCTCCTGGAAAGATTACAGCCTAGGAAACCCTATGCGGAAATTCTACTCTCTCACTACGAGTCTGAATTGACTTGACAGCACCTAACAAGAGCAACATCCCACGGATGGTATATGTGCTCCACCCATTTTTCTTGTCCTGGGCCTCACCAAGAGTTAGTGCTGGGCCTGGAGCATCCGCCTGAATTAAGGACTCTCCGTACCGTACCCAGTTGTAGCACGAACAGTGTGTGTCCCTATAAAACACAAGTGCAATTAAACTGAAGCCATGCAGCAGGCACTGAAGATGGTAATGTGGGGCAGTGGTTATAACCATGCTCCACACTACACACGTGACCTCCCTTCCCCATTCTCAAACCAGCCAGTTAGAAATCAGCTTGAGCTCAGTCTCCTGCTATCTTCCTCCTCCTTCCGAATCAAAGGTGTTGTGGTAAGGAACCCAGGCTGTGGACCAAACCACCCTTGCTCTGAATGCAGCTCTGCGACTTCTAAATCATGTGCCCTGGAGCCAGGTTATAATCTCTCTGAGCCTCAGTTTCCCCAGCTGTAAAATAGGGATGGTGACACCATGTTATCAGGATTCTTATGAAGGTCACCCAAGACAAGACAAGCCCTTTGTACAGCCTCTGCCCCATAATGATCAATGCTAGCATTGGTTTCATTTGCAAATTTTTAGAGGATAGGGACTAAATTGCTCTGATTTTTTTTTTCTTTTTACTACGCAGCATGTCTATAAAATATATCTCCAGGCAACCTAGCTTTCAGTCTATCCAGATTGTGCACATTCCCAACAGAGCCAATTATGTGTGGCTGTGCTAATTCTTATTAACTCAAAGTGCACGTCAAAGATTGACAAAAAGAAATTCAATTCCACTCAGACGAAGCCTCAGACCAACTCACATCTCCTTATTTTAGACAAGTTCAATTCTGAGCTGCACGATGAGGTTTAATCAGGTTCTCAATCATGCCGCCACGTCCACAATTCCTAATACGAATGAGATTTCTATCAGCTTCCATGGGATGTGAGGATGTAACTCTGACATTCTATAATTTGACTGCTGGTAATAAAATGAGATTTCCTCCTGCTGATGCAAAAAAAAGTCAAGGGGGAGGCTTAGGGGCAGGACTAAAATCTCCAACTAGTATATTAGGATTTCCTAGTATAATTTGAGGGTCGGTCGCTTCTCGGGCTGCTTAACTATTGTCATGCCCTCTACCCATGAAGTTCTAGTCTCCACCAAGACTAAATTCTCAGAGGAGGGTGATAAGGCTAATGGATTCTTTCGCTGAGGATGAATACACTCACGTGTCAAGGATGTCTCTAATAACTCCCCTCCCCTAATGATCTTGAGCCTCCAGAAAAACAAAGAGTGGCTCCCAACCAAAAGACAGAAGTTTGTCTAGCTAGAGGAGTTTAACTAATCATTCAAAGTATATTCAGAGACTCCTGAATACGCCCAGCTCACAGCTGAAGAGAACTCCAAAGGCACAGGCAGCACTGTATGGTGTACTGGATGCGTGTTCTGGAGCTAGACAGACCTGGGAGAAACCCCAGACAGGCCCCACAAGCTGTATGGAAGTGCCTGGGCAGCTCACTGAACCACCCCCGAGTCTCACTTTTCTCATCTGTGAAATAATGATAAGGCCGACCTCGCAGGGCTCTTGGGAAGATTAGAAAGAAATGTATGTCCAGCCCCAAGCACAGTGCCTGGCACACTGTACGTGGTTAAACAAAGAATACTCTAGAGTATGGACTTGTCCACTTATGTACTAAGGCCAGGTAATTCTGACCCGACTCTTAACACAAAAACTGGTCTAACCTCTGGAAGACCTACAAACAAGAAAAGCTATGAAACTGCACAATATGCAGTTGAGATTATGTAAGAAAAACAAACTAACTTCATAACTCCTAGATAAACCTAGCAGGTGAATCATTAAAAGTATACCCATGACTGAAGAAGACCAACTGGTTCTTTAAAACCAATTACTGTATTCTAATATTTTGGATACCTGGGGGTGGGGCAGGGAAGGGTAGAGGAAGGATAAGAGACTGCTTAAACATAGAGTCCTTTTTTATTTCATAGGAAATGAGGATTATTTCAAAAGGTACTTATAAAACACTTGGGCAGAAGGTCTTTAAAAAAATTGTTATTTTCTGGTATGGCTCTAAAATGTTCTAATGGCTTTTACTGAAACACTGACTTTTTTTTGTTACCCTATAAAATAATTTTTTCTAGTTACAAAAGACATATCTGCTCATTATTAAAAAGTTGGGGAAAAAAAGCACAAACAATAATTCATCATTCCATCAACTCTTTCTAATACATACACACACATCATACACCCACACACACACATATTTATATACATATATATGGTATATGGCCTATCCCAGAAAACTTATTAATTCTGGAATATGCTAAACACATAGATTGTAAAATTTTGCTTCTCCATCTTTACTTTCAGAATTCATTTTCAGAAGTGCTAATTTTCTTCTAACCCAGATAATGTTAATCCTTTCCTATAAACCAAAATGAGTGAAGTATTATAACTACCCATGCAACACAAATGGACTTCAAATCTACTTTGATGGTTTCTGAATCCTTCCACTTCATCACTTATAACCTGGGCAACAAACAATCTGAAGGTTCACATATTGTTCCATGCCCTCAAATCTAGAGCCTGCCAGACTTTATTTGCCACAGGAAGGGTCAATGAAAGAAAAGATTAATTCAATGCTTTTTCCAGCCCCATTACTGGTGCCTGTTCTTAAAAGATAATGCTTTTGTCCCCAGTGCCCTTAGTGAGCTGAGCCTCACTGCACACTGGGTCCTTATTATTTTCCTAACAAAGGCACCTGAATTAGGATATGGAGGCTCAGGGTGGGTTCTCTCCACTCCCTCTCAGTAGGTGCTAGACTGATGAACTGGGAAACTTCTTAGAAAAATAAGTCAGGTCTATATCCAGTCACCATTCAAATGCATTAATTATCTTACCATGTGCCACGGAGTCCCTGGGTGGCGCAAACAGTTAAGTGCTTGACTACTAGCCAAAAGGTTGGCACTGGGAACCCACTGCCCTTCAGGAGACAGGCCCGGTGAACTGCTTCTGAAAGGCCCCAGCCTGGAAAACTCTATGGAGCAGTTCTACTCTGCACACAAGTCAGAATCTACTGGAAGGCAACTAACAACAACAGCATGTGGTGGCTTTTTCCATAATGATAACAGTGAACATTCTGAGGGTCTCTGGTAGCTACAAGTCTGAATCGACTTGACAGCAACATTTGTTTTTTTAAATCTACTGTGTGAAGCCCTGGAAACCCTGGTGGGTAGCAGTTAAGAGCTATGGCACTAACCAAAAGGTCAGCAGTTCGAATCCACCAGGCGCTCCTTGGAAACCCTATGGGGTAGTTCTACTCTGTCCTATAGGGTTGCTATGAGTCGGAATCAATTCGATGGCAGTGAGTTTGGGTTTTGGTTTGGTGTGGAGGCCTGGCGGCCACAATGGTTAAGTGCTTGGCTGCTAACTGAAAGGTCAGGGGTTTGAACCTACTAGTCACTCTGCAGAAGAAAGACATGACAGTCTGCTTCCGTAAGTTTTACAGTCTAAGAAACCCTATGGAGCAGTTTTACTCTGTTCTATAGGGTCACTATGAGTTGGAATCAACTTTACAGCAACAGGTTTTTTGGTTTTTATCTACCTGGTATGAGGCACTGTGCTAGACCCTTTTCCTGAATACTGCTCATCTTCATAGCAATCCTGTGAGGTATTATCTTTCTCCTCTTAAACATTTAGCTCCAACAAGGCTGGGTGCCTTGATCACAGTCTCACAGTTAAGAACGCTAGTGGATCTAGTATCCCAACCCAGCAGCGTCTAACCCAGAGCCCCATCAGCTCATTCTGTAGACACAACCCACAGTCACTACCGTGTGCATCAAATAAGTGCGAGGTTAGTGCGTCCCACTTGTTCTCCAAAGCTTTCTAGAAAACATCAGTCTGTCTGTCCCACGGTGGGTCCTGTCACCAAGGAGAAGTGAGAGCCCAGAGATGCCATGGGCTAGGGCGGGGCCACAGTGGACACACTGTGACCTCCACCTCCAGGGAGGGAGGAAACCCCACAACGGGCCCACAGCGACCTTCGAAGGTTCCAGGGTGGATGCCCACGGTGTGATGATGACCATCTCTCTCTGTGGCAGGCCCTATAACAAACCTTCCCTCCCGGACTCCTCACAGCCCTGTTACTAGGTGTGTGAGTCACTATCCTGATTCCTCCGAAGAGAAACACGACTGCTCTGAGAAATCCAGCCATGGCTCCGCGGCCGCCCAGCTGGTCGATAGGCCCCTCCCGCGGCCTCCCGGTCCTCAGATGACCCACGTGCTCCTCGCCCCTCCCAGGGGAGGACCTCTTTCTGGGCCTTCTCCGCTGGGCCCCCGTCCCGCCGCCGCTCCCGGAAGCCCTTGGGCCGGCCCAACGCGAGCTGCCCGCTGCCCCGCGGTCGCAAGGACCTGACCCCAGGGCGGCAGCGACAGCTCACTTACGCCGGTCGCGGAGCAGAGCGGCCGCAGCGCGCAGGGCCGCAGCCATGTTGATGCCGACGGAAAGCAGTCCGGGGATGCCTCGCCGGGAGCTGGGTTCCTTCGGGGCTGCGGCGCGCTCAGCTGTCAGCTGGGGGCCGGGGAGCTCTTTCCCACCGCCACTGCTTATCCCGCGACCGCCCATCCGCCCCGCAGCGCGCCCGCTCATTCGCTGCTGAGGGGGCGGGGCCAAGCAAAGGCACGCCCCTCGCGTAGGGCCCGCCCCCTACGTGGGAAAAAGGGTGGGACTGCGCTAGTGCTGCCCTCGCCACCGCCACCCCTACCGCCAATGCCATCACGAGGTGGTGGGCTAAAGCCCCTCTGGACCCGTGGTCCATGTCGTGGGTGCATCTGCCAACCTGGCCAAGGCAGGAACCGCAAGACAAAGTATTTTTCAGACATTTCCATTACTATTATCTGTTGTTAGGTTCCTTGGGGTAGATCTGATTCATAGCGACCCTATAGGACAAAGTAGAACTGCCAACTGCCCCCATAGAGTTTTTCTAAGCTGTACTCTTTATGGGAACAGATCACCATGTCTTTCTCCCAGGGAGCTGCTGGGTGAGTTGGAACCGCCAACCTTTAATTTAGCCAAGCACTTAAGCATTGCGGCCAGCACTCCACTGCTAACCAAAATGTGGGCAGTTAGAATCCACCAGCCGCTCCTTGGAAACCTTATGGAGCATTTCTGCTCTGTCCAATAGGTTCGCTATGGGTCGGAATCAACTGGACGGCAGTGGGTTTGGTTTTGTGGTTCAGTGAAGGAGATCTTATAGCTCAGCGGTCAAGTGCTCGGCTGCTAACCAAAGGCTAGCAACTCAAACCCACCAGCCGCTCCGTGGGAGAAAGATGTGGTGGTCTGCTTCCATCTAAAGATTACAGCCTTGGAAGCCCTCTTGGGGCAGTTCTACCCTGTACTATTGAATCGACTTGACGGCAGTGGGTTTGGTTTTTGGTGTGAGTGGTTCAGTGGTAGAATTCTCATCTTCCGTGTGGGAGACATCCTGCATCTTGGCCAACACACCTCAGGCACAGCCACCACCCGCCTGTCAGTGGAGGCTGTGTGATTCTACGATGCTGAACAGAATTCAATGATGCTTCCAGGCTAAGAGACTAGGAAGAAAGGCCTGGTGATCTACGTCTGAAAAATAAGCCAATGAAAACCCTGTGGATCTGAACAGATATACTGCATTTGTTTCTGTTCACATGTTGATGACCATTTGGAGATTGTTGATAAAACCAGTATAATCTTTTGTGTACAGGGAAAAAAAAACAAAAACAAAAACCTATGGATCACAGCAATCTGATCCCACCCTGAGGGTGTCCCGGATCGGGCAGTGTTTTGTTCCATTGTGCATGGGGTCGCTATGAGTCAGGGGCAACTGCACAGCAGCTAACAACAGTAACAGATAAGAGAATGTTTTTGCTTCGATTCTCTTGTTTGCCTGCATAGTTACAGCACAGCTGTGGAGACTCTGGTTTTGTTTCCAAGAATAGGGAAAAGAATTATTTTATATTAGACATTCATGACATAATTATTTGATTTCTCTATAACAGCTCTATGTACTGGGTTTTACAGGTGGGACTAGAAAGCAAACATTATACTGCTAACATGAGAGCCTTAGGAAAAGTGAAGGCTAGTTCAGCAAATGCATATCTTAGAGGGATGGTATGGAGAAGTTTATCATATCAAATCCACACACCTTTGTAATGTAGTCACCACCTCCGACCCAGCAGCGGGGAAGAACAGGCACCTCCCTCAGTTCTAACCATTCTTACCTTCACACAACTTCACTCACCTACCTGGCTCTTGTGTTCAGTGCACCGTGGAGTACAAGACAGCCTTTAATACAGAAAGGTCTCCAGCATCATTCATTCACCGAACAAATACTGATTACCTACTGTATGCAAGGTGCTAGTCTAGACACAGAGAAAACAGCAGTGAACAGAGCAGACAATGAGCTTCCATGGGAGTTAGGAGATAGAAAATAATAAAAATATGTAGTATTTTGGATGATGAGTGTTAGAAAGAACAACAAAGCAAGGTGAGGGAAATGAGGGTATGCAATTTGAAACAGATGCACCAGGAAAGCCCTCATTGACATTTGGACAAAGGCCTGAAGGAAGTAAGTGGGCAAGACATGTAGAACATTCCAGATGGGGTCTAGATTGAGTTGAAAACCAGTTTTCTGTAGTTAAAAATGTGTGTTCTTTGTTGAATTTGTTTATTATTAAAGTTAGTCCTCCTCATGTTTGTACACCCACTGTAAAAATGTCAAATTAAATAGTTGCCTTTCATATTAGCTACATGATCTTCAGATCCAAGTAGGAAGTGTTCCTTGAGAAATAGACAATAAAATTGGCTCCAAACATCAAACTGTCTTCCTATACATTTTGCTAATTCTCTACTCTCATATCTATATTAGTTTTAAGTTGCCCTTTAAAGAGGTGATCTTTATGGATACCATACTTCTCGAGCTAAAGCCAGAACCAATTTCTTCTAAATAAACTACAGTACAGGCACTTCTTGGGTTGCAACGAGATCCGTTCTGTGTCTTTAAGTCGAATTTGTAGGTAAGTCACAACAAGTGCACACAGTTCTTATTTAGCCTTACTTTAGTGCAAGAAAAGGTGCGAAGCCTTTTCACTGATTTAAAAGCTGCGTGTGCAGCAAGTGAAGATGATTGTGATGAAGAATTTGATGTGAGGGTGGGTTGGTTCAATGGTTTCAAAGTGAGAGAAAATTTAAATCACATTAAAGGGCAAGTAGGAGTTGTCCGTAGGTCTTAACCCGGGGACTTAGTGTACATAAGAAGTCTCCGCGATTTGAAATGTTGTGCTGGAAGTTTACACAAGACCAGAAAATAATAGGTCAAGGCTTGCTCCTCTCAGCCACCTCAGGGAGGCCCTGGATAAGCCACACTCCACCCTTGGTGCTGTGCCTCTCCTGCCAGGTGGAGATAACAGGATCTGCCAGCCCCTCCCAGGGAAATGCTCATGATTAGTGACAAGGCAGCAAGGTGCCAAATCTCACAGAACAAAATTAGCAGTTGCAATGGGTTAAGTTTGTATCTGACCAAAACAGAGGAAAAAAATTAGCAAAATATGTTTTTATTAAATATATCAATATGGTGATTCCTTTAAAAAATGAATTTGTATCATTTCACTTTTTTTATTCACATCTTGTACTTGCATTTTTACTGATTTTTTTCAAAAACTCTTTCAAAATTTGTGTATGAAACCTCCCGATTAAGACTGTTTATAATTGAAAATAGAACTTCATTATTTTGCCCCAACAGAGAGTACATAACATTTGTTATTTTAATCTATGGTTTATTTCTTACAAAGATCAAATGTAACAGCTTTCCAATGAGGACATTTTTATGTTCTTATGAAATGAAAGCAGATGAAATGCGCTTTATGTGGATCCTTGTCAAAACTGATTGAAACACAGCCCTTTAAGCCACAAATTGTGAACTCAAAATAGAGGCTAAGGAGCCCTGGCGGTGCAACAGTTAAGCACTTGGCTGCCAACCAAAAGGTTGGTGGTCTGAACCCATCCAGTGGCTCCTCGGGAGAAAGACCTGGCAATCTGCTCCCCTAAGATTCCAAAAAGCCAAACCAAACCCATTGCCATCGAGTAGATTCCAACTTACAGAAGCAACACTGCCACATATTTCTCCCACAGAGCAGCTGGTGGGTTTAAATCGGCAACCTTTTGGTTAGCAGCCGAGCACTTAACCACTGTACTGCCGGGGCACCTCTGTAAAGATTACAGCCTAGAAAACCCTATGGGGCAGTTCTACTCTGTCACATGGGGTCGCTTGAAGTCAGAATTGAGTCCGCGGCACCTAACAACCATAATAGAGGCTTACTTAGAAAATCAGAAAAGCTCTTGAATGGCTGAAGAAATTTGCAAAACTATATGAGATTTATACATCTATTTTTTTCGGGCTTACAAAGTTTTACCCAGCATATTACCAATTCCCTCGGCAAACAGAACTCTAAAGGTACATATCTGGGTAGACGCAGATAAACAGCACTGCCGCCACGTGGGAGAGGGCTTGACTGAGCCTGGGTGACTTAATTAGCGACTAAAGTACTTGCCTGTCACAGACAACCCTCCCTGAGTTCAGTCTGTGGTTCTAAATAAAATGAATTTGTTGGTTTCAGTTCAATGCCCTGAAAAGGGGGGTTAGGGGGCCCTAATTCATTATTTGCCATGATTGGCACCTCTGAGCTACACAAACTAAATTTAGATAACTCCACTCTGCCTCCTTAATCAGAAAAAGCATCAGAGCTGGTAGCGAGGGTTTCAGTGCAAGAGAAACAGTGGCTGTGTATGGCAAACAAATGATGAACTATTATGATTACTCAGAGAAATCTAATCGGTTGTTCCCACCAACACGACATACACTCTGACTCACCCTTCACAACCACACAGAGCCTTGAGGCCACTAGTGGTGATGGGCAAATTAGTCCATCCCCACATATTTTCTGAGCGTCAACTGTAGGGAAAGTATTACACCAGAAAACCCCAAAACGCATTGCCGTCAAGTGGATTCTGACTCATAGCGACCCTATAGGACAGAGTAGAACTGTTCCATAGGGTTTCCAAAGAGTGGCTGGTGGATTCGAACTGTTGATGACTTTTTTGATTAGCAGCCAAACTCTTAACCATTGCACCACCAGGGCTCTGTACTGGGCAAGGTGGAGGGAAAAAAGGAAATGGGAAACAGATCCTTCTTCCAAGTAGCCCAATCATTTATTAAACAAATCCTATGGAAGGTCCACCTTATGTCAGACACTGGGCATGCCACAATGAATTGTACAGTCTCTACCCTGACTAGGAGGCAACACAGACGGTAAGCAAAACATATACAACACAATGTCAGGTATAGCTAAAGGGCCATGAATAAAAATAAATGATGGAAAGAGAGTGAGGCAGGAAGTGCTATTTTTGGTAGTGAGGTCAGACTGGCCTCCACAGAGGTGACACTGACAGAGACCTGAGGTGAGTGGGGCCTCTCCCTGAGGAAGGACTTTGCAAGCAAAGGGCCCAGCAAGTGCTGGAGCACATTTGAGGCTTTTGAGGAACAGCAGGAAGCCGTAGTTGGTGCTTGGCTGCTAACTAAAAAATTCATCACTGGAGGAGTTGACTCAGGGTTCGAATCTTCCCCGGAAGTTTTTATTCCTACCCAGAGCCCCGGGCACATGGCAAGCTTCCTTGTCCTTCTCTGGACTAGTGGGCCAGTTTTCTAGATCTTTTGACAAAAAGTTTGCTTAATGCAGGGGCCTGGCCCCAGCCCCACCTTCCAGTCCCCATGAGGCCATTTTAGGAGTGGAGTACACAGATGCATTCACTTTGTGAAAATCTGTGGAGCTACACTCTTCTGAGGTATCAATGTTACGCTGCAATAAAACTTTAAAAAAAAATTTAAAAAGCCCCTAGTGCCTTTATCTGGATTAAGGTTTTCCTCCTACCTCCCAAAATTCTGGCTTTGAGATCCCTCTCACCCACATTCTGATGCCTAGAGATTTTCCTTTCACACTCAGCTAAGCTTTGAGGGTAGATATTATATTTAGCCAGTAAAGCTGCATGTCCATAGAAGAGAAAGAGGTGATAAAAGTGAGAGCTTATTTCAGGCAAGGAGGATAAAGGAATGCACAAACAGTAGGGCTAGAACACCCTGAATGTGGAGAGGCACTGTGAAGACAGAAGAGCACAGGATAACCAAGAGCGAGAATGTCATTGGCCACCGCACAGGGCTTGTGAAGGGCTCTGAGATAAGGCTGGGGAGATAGGCTGGGACCAACCTGAATATGCTAAGGACTTGGGACCTCGCAGGCTAACGGGCGTCACTGATAGGCATGACAGTCATTGAGAAGAGTACCTTGTTCAGGGCTGTGCTTTGAGGAAAAGCACTGAGCAAGCAGTGTGTAGGGTATAGCCCATCAGAGAGGAGAGGCAGGGAGACCAAACAGGAGACAACAGCACAGTACATGGAGGAGGCACTGAGGGGAGTGACAATGGGGAAGTGAAGCAAGCAAAGAAACTGTAAGATATTGCAGAAGCAGAGAGGGCAGGAAAAGGCAGTTGATGGTATATTGGGGACCAGAGTGTGAGATGGAACAGTAACTCCAAGATTCCCAGCATTGGTGATGCCGAAAGAGAGAAACCCATCATTAGCAGGAGAGCTGGTTTGAGACACAGATGAGTGTACTTTTCAATTGCTATTGCTGTTTTCACTTTGCTGTATTTGTTTGGTTTTAACCAAGTATGTTTTCAGTTGCAGGAAGGACTAACAGTAAAGCTATCTAACAGGAAGGTTTAGTGGTCACGTATATAGAAATAATGACTGAAATGATTCAATAAAATAATAAAATGATTCATTCATTCATTCTTGATTTTTCTTCAAATACAGAGTAAAGGCCTCTGGATAAAAGACGGGGGCTTCAGCACCCTCCCCGCCAGGCTCAGTTTCTTGGCCTGATACCACCATGATATTGACTCCCTCATTCCTGACTAATCCTGTGGCTCTCACTTAGTATTTTAAAACTCTAAATTTATTTACTCAGTTAAAATTTAGGCTAATTTGAGTCTAACCTCTTAGCTTAAATTGTGATCAACCCAATTGCCTAGTTGCATCCAATTAGAGCTCATTCACATTCTTACAGGTATTTTCTATTAAAAGATAGAGGCCAAATATACTACAAATGCCTCATTTCTATTTTGTCATTTAACTTAACTGCAAAATAGGATAAAATCTAATGTACATAAGAATAACATAAAAACGACTACAAAAATGATAGAATTAGGGCCCATATACTTAATATTTTAAAAATTATTCCATTTCATTCCATATAATTCTAGTAACACCTACTAAATTTAGTAATATCTAATTTCATGTATGTACATATCATGAAAAATAGAACCATGAAAAATGCAAATGGCATGAACTAATGAGAGATGTTTAGCTTTAAAAAAAATAAGCCAACTAAGTGTTTTTTCTGTGTGTCCATTTATTGATTGCTGGGAATACAGTCTATTGAGAATACATGACATGCAGTTTGGGGGAGAAATTAACCCAATCTGAAATGAAGCCATTCAACAAGCCTGCTGTGAGTTAATAAGGTAACACAGATTAGATCTGAGGACATGGTGAGGACCATTCAAACAACCACTTACAGTTGTTATTAGGATTCCTGTTATAATTTCTTTTGAAACTCATTTATTCTTAATTACTTAGGAACTACCAGGAACAACCAGTCTGCCTCTTTAGCTTAAACTAATGCTAGGAGGGATGCTGTAAATCATTTAACTACCGAACAATATTATATATGCACCATATATATATATACACATATACACATACACATATATATGAGATCTTACTTCATTATTTACTTCAACAATTATGATTTTATGTCAAATTCTTTAAGACATTTCTATTTTTTAGAAATTATTCCACATCAGTTTGTATGCCTCAGAATTATAAGCAACAATACAGATTTAGAAAGATTAATAACTGATGCAAAAGTCTGTATTCATTTGATCCCAGTATCTATTGCTGAATTACATCCTATTCTGAAACTAGCAATTTCTTATGCCATATTGTCAATTTTCACCCACGAGGTTTATTTTAACTCATGGATAGAATAAAATGATATAAACTGAAGAATTCCAGTTACACTTAAAAGGACAGAAAAGCAAAGTCACTGGAATGTCTTAGAACATAATTAAAAATTATTTAAATATATGGAATATATGGCACAAAGCTTATGATCTATAAGTGGATACCAAAATGCTAAAATATATTCATAATTACAGTTACATGCCACATATTTCACCCAAATTTTATAATGGATTTTTGTTTTCTTAAAATGACAATATCAATGTTCACTTGATATCCAAGTAAACTACTTTTTATGATAGTAGAAATAATAAACAGAAAGAGAAAACAGAAAGAGTTGAACCCTAATAAAACAAAAAAAGGGAAAATTTTGGCTTTTTAAAAAAAGAGGCAGTCTGTTCCTTTCGTGAACCGTATTCTCCTTAAAGCTTTAGGAGGAGTTGATTATGGCGTGCAGCGCTGGACAAATCGAGGGTATAAGCACACATCTCGGATGTGATACCTATTCAGAATCCAAGTTAAGAATCGTTCCAAGCCCAAGCCATATCCTCCATGAGCACATGTACCATACTTTCTCTGTTAAAAAAAAAAAAAGAGAGGGAGGAATAAATGCTACTTTAAATTTCATCAAAATAGTTATAATTTTCTACTGTGGAAGGAGTTAGCTCATTATGGCTAACAACTCATCCTTTAATCTATAACCTTCATGGACCAAGTGTGAAAGAAGAAAAATAAGCCACAAATTAAGTACCACCCTGTAAAGAAGAGATTTAAAACTCTTAAACTAAGTCAGTGTCTCTGTTTATAAGAGGAAAATGAACAATAGTACTAGATATTGACAGGATCTAATGACTTGAAATAGCATTTTTTTGAAACTCAGTAGCAACGGGCAAGTTAGCAGTTAAATAGGTTTTCAAATGAAGTTAATCTATAACTTAGCCAAAGGTAAAACTAACAATATTCATAAGCTACATTATTATAACTGTTAAACTGAATACAGCCCAATTACCAAGGTACCCTGAGTTCTCTCCTTTTAAAAATTTCAATTTATACAGAATGATTACAGTGAAAAAAATTTATACAGTGGTAAACATTGTTTTTACCTGATCTGTATACCAGTAATAGGGAGTGGGGTCAATCCCTTCTCTTTTGTAGCCTGCCAGAATCTCTTCACTATCCCAAATACGCATGGAGCCTCCCACAATCTCACCAACATTAGGCATCAACACGTCAACCTTCGGATAATAAAAGTAAAAAGAAATTGCACAGTTACTACCAGGCTCTCTGACATGGCATTGCCCTACAACTTAAGTGAAAACTACAATTAAGCACCTAGAGCTAAAGGAAGCACTGTGATTACTCAAGATTCGAGTACTATTCAAATTCTATAATTTAACAAATAATGTTACCTGCAATCAGGAGAGAAAAAAACACTCCTTCAATATTGTCATTCTAGATTTATAATGAAATGTTTGCCATGCATTGTATCTTGTTCCAAACAACAGTCCCCGCCCTCTTAAAAAGCAAAATGACTAATACTATTTGCATCACAAACTGACAGATTCAGTAAGGCGGGAATCCTCAGGACATCGCTGCATATAGAAGGACTTGATCTCTACAGGAAATCGACACAGCAAGATTGGCTCATTAATGGTGTCTGTCATCAGTCTCTCAGGAGCTTCTGGGATATCCTGAGGTTAAAGAAGAGTTCATTAACATTTACAACTCCAAATGCAACAAGACAGAAGCAGCTCTCCTACCCACGACCAGCCCTTTGTCCTATTAACGCAACATAGTAGAGAACACACACCCAACCATCATCCATACACATGCATATACCGGACAATTCCTTTCAAAAATAAACATATTAAAAAACTCACACACAGCTATTAAATGAACTGTAAAAAAAACCTGCCGCCTATTACAGTATCTCTCAAGCACCATTCTGCTTGAGAAATGAAAACCCAAAAAACCCAGCCATTGTCATTGTCACTAGATGCTGCTCAGCTATTTTTTTCAGTGGGCAGTCTTGTCTAGCTCTAAAGGGAAAGTGGCCCATTTTGTCCCATAAGGAATAAGGTAATCCGTGAATGCTTCAGAACATCACTGAGCTACACACCGAAGGTGTTATTAATAACACTAATCTTTAAGCGCTCCTGTTATCTGCACTTCCTTCCTGTTACCATAAATCAGTTATGCCTTCAATAGTAGTAAGACGCAGCCATGAGGCAAATAACCGACATCAAATTTATAAGTGTAACCACGTCTGGAACAGTTAGACCTGAAATGTTAGAAGATGGCGAATCGAGTTAATCTGCTTCTCTTTCAAAACATCCTTCAGTAAACCACATGTAAATTCAAGTTAAAACTGAAAACTCTTGTCCCAGTAAACACCGATTGGGAGAAGTGGACAAGACGCATTGATTTGCTGAGTGTAAGAAGTGAAATGGACCTCAGCAGCAATCACCAGGCACAGATGTTTTCAAGCTCCAGTCCCTGGAGCCCTGCACCCTTGGAGGTGCAGAAGGGAAATGGGAGATGAAGTAGTAGAGACTCTGGTCTCTCAGCTGTTATCTGCTTAACATTCTTTACAAACTGCCTAAGATTTAATTATGGGAAAGGACCTTCAGAAAATGTCTGAAGATCGTTTATCTACTCTGGTCCTCACCTCAGCTGTATGGGATGACATCAGTGTAGAGTAAACGCTGATGCACATTAAGGACTTCCTGTGCCATGGACAAGGAGCCCTGGTGGTACAGTGGTTAAGCGCTGGGCTGCTAACTGAAAGGTCGGCAGTTCAAACCCACCAGCAGCTCTGAGAGAGATGTGGCAGACTGCTTTCATAAAGATTACAGCCTTGGAAACTCAATGAGGGCAGTTCTACTCTGTCCTACAGGATTGCTGTGAGTCAGAATTGACTCGATGGCAACGGGTTTAGTTTTTTGGTTTGGTGCCACGGACCCTGCTAGAGATTTAGCTCATTTAATCCTTACAATCTTGCAAGGTGGATGCTACCTCCAAGGCAGAGATAAGGAACCAGAGGCTGGGGTCACTGGCTTTCAGTGACACAGCTGGTAAGAACAGAGATGGGATCTAAACCCACCTGGAGGCTTTTGACTCCAAAGCCTGTGTTCTTTCCACTCAATCCCACTACTTTGTTAAGTATTTGGTACTAGAAGTATTTAATTTTTCAGTACAAAATTCTGTCATTATATATCATGAGCTGAAGTCATGAAATAATAAGAGTAATTTATACAGGATAAAACAAATTTATATATATACCAACATTCTGCATGTAATTTCACAAGAGTTCACAACCTTCTAAAGCATCTCTGACAATCTAGAGAATCAGAGCTTTTAAATGCAGCCATGGATTGGTAATGGAAGAGGCAAATGACAATGGATGAGATTTGAAGTAGAGCTAAAAAATTGCTAATATTTACTGAATGTTACAGAAAAGCCATCGTCCTATGGCTTGCTCTACATCTATTAACCCAATGAATCCTCAGATGACCCCAGGAAGCAGATTCTGTTATCATGAGTTTGAAAACAAGCAGACACCTCTTGCATTACAGACTTATACATCAAAGTAGCATTCTACTTAGGAGCACTGGTGCTTAAATGGTTAAGCGCTGGGCTGCTAACTGAAAGGTGAGTGCTTCGAACTCACCAGCCGCTCTGCAGGAGAAAGATGTGACAGTCTGCTCCCATAAAGATTACAGCCTAGGAAACCCTAAGGGGCAGTTCTACTCTTGTCCTACAGGGTTGCTATGAGCTGGAATAGACTCTATGGCACCAATAACAACAGCATTCCACTTAAGCACAATGCCAACTCTGAAACAACGATAAGAAAGGAATACATACTTCTCCAAATTCATAGAAAGTTCCATCTTCTTTCTTTACATTGTGTTCTTTTAGCCACACAATGGCATCCAAATAGTTCATCCGTTTAAAAGGCCGTTTGGGGGGCTTGAAGTTCTTTAGTAGAAAGGAAAAACACAGCATATAAAAAGAAACCATTAACACTAAAATTTCCATTTTTAGAAAATGGTTTACCATTATTATAAAATAACTGTCTCACCAGGGATCACAATAGAGGGTCCCGGGCAAAGCTGGAGAGAAATGTAGAACAAAATCCTAACTCCCAAAAAAAGATCAGACTTACTGGTCTGACAGAGACTGGAGAAACCCCCAAGAGTATGGCCCCTGGACACCCTTTTAGCTCAGTAATGAAGTCACTCCTGAGGTTCACCCTTCAGCCAAAGATTAGACAGGCACATAAAACAAAACGAGACTAAATGGGCATGCCCGCCCAGGGGCAAGGACTAGAAGGCAGGAGGGGACAGGAAAGCTGGTAATAGGGAACACAAGGTCGAGAGGGGAATGTGTTAGACATGTCGTGGGGCTGGCAACCAATGTCACAAAACAATATGTGTACTAACTGTGTAATGAGAAGCTAGTTTGTTCTATAAACCTTCATCTAAAGAACAATTTAAAAAAAAGAAGATACTGTCTCAGATTACTACAAAACAGTGCAGACATTCCTAAAAATGGAAAACAAATATGATGCTCCCCTTACGTAAGTTAAAATACTATGAAATTACTGGCAAGGACTAATATCAAATTTTCGTCTTCAAAATATTAGCCACTTACACGTCACCTACCGGGTTGAGGTCATACACTATACTTGCTATGGGGGATTTCAAGACTCTGTCCACCACGTCACAAATCAAGTCCTCCACTCGGGTCAGGAGGTCCTCAAAGGTCAAGAAAGCGCACTCTGCTTCAATGTGAGTGTACCTGGAGAAAAGACACTATTCAGAGCCACTCTGCTTTTAAGCTAAGCTTCTCTCAAGTAAGGATTTAAATAAATTGTCCAGAAAGGTAAAATATCAACACTGCTAACCAACTCCCAACTCTGTAAATTAGTTCGGACCCCTTCCCCCTTGAGTAGTGACTGCCTGTTTATTCCTTAACACATAAAGAAGAATCAAGGTACAGTGAAAGAATCGACCTTAGCTATGGCCAGAGAGGCACAACTTCTGAACGTGTTCATCCATTCATTTATTCAATGGCCCTCAAATACAAAATTTTTTACACGGACATCATTTACCTACATAAAGATTCCTTCTACAAAGACATTTTCTTAAAAAAAAGGGAGAGAGAGAGAGAGAGACAATTCCGTACTCTGCCAGGTGCCTTCGAGTTCTGGATTGCTCTGCCCTGTATGACTGTGCAATGCAAAATACATCTCCGAGCGATGGGAGGCAGGTCTCCAGGTACAACTGAGAGGACTGTGTCAGAAACGCCTCTTCCCCAAAATAGTCAAGCTTGAAGAGTGTGGAACCACCTTCTACTTGTGTTTGCACTAATGTTGGAGGAGTAACCTGTTCAAATGGAAAGAGGTGTAAATACATGCCTATTGTGAACACTTCTATTCAAGCTTTAAAACAGAAAAAAGATATTGTTTGCACAGCACATTAATATAATAGATGTAAATAAGCTATACACCTGTAAAAATCTGAATTGGCAAATGTTATGTGATATACATTTTGAAAACAACAACAAAAAGAGCAGATCCTGAGCCTGCTTAGGTACATCCAACACCTCATGGGATTTGCTTTCATGGTTTGGAGGTTTAGGATCATGGCTTCAAGAGGCATCCCAGCTAGTTGGCCTAATATCATGTTTAGTGTTTCTGTTCTACCTCCTAGTTCATGGCATAGTGTCTGGGGTTTTAAAAGCTTGCAAGTGGCCATCCAAGGTACAGTAATTGGTCTCTGTTTGCATGGAGCAACAGAGGAAACAGTAGAGTCAGGAATAGGAGTAGGAAGTGGAATACGTAGTTAATTGCCTCCATGAATAACTAACTGCCTCCTCTGACATTAGACTGGAATGGAATGGTGTACAGCTGCCATTACTGAACATTTTGATCAAAGATTCTATAGAAAAATCCTGATCAAAAGGGAGAAAAATATGGAACAGAATTTCAAATTCTCATGGAATCTAGACTTTCTGAAGCCATGGAGACGGGATGAACCCCTGAAACTAATGCCCTGAGATAATCTTTAACCTTAAATATTAAGTCAAAAAATATCCCCTGAAGTCTTTTTAAAACTAAACAATAGTTTAGTTTAACTAGTAAAGAATATCTGCCCTGAGCATTGTATTCTTTTAATATCTAACTATACAGGATCAAACTGACAATAGCAACTCCAAATATTAGACAGGAAACTTAGGGGGCAGTGAGTTTATGTTAATGAGGGAGGAAAAATTCAAAAAAGGAGGGTGAGAATGACTGCACAACTTGAAGAGTATAATCAGTGTCACTTAATTGTACATGTAGAAATTGTTGAATTGGGGTATACTCTGCTGAGTATATTTTAACAACAACAAAATATAAACTAAATTATTGAAAAAAAAAAAAGATACTGTTTGCAAAAGATGAAGAACACACACTTACCTCATAGTACCCCCTGTCAAAGAAGTGATCTCTGAAGCACCTGGTGATCAGCGACCGGGCTTTCAAGATTTTCGACATGTTTTCTCCTCGGATCATCATGTGTCTGTTGTTGAGCTGGACATCAACATCAGATTCCTCGTTGATCAAGTTATCGGCTCCTCCAGCAGGGGCCAACCCAATTAGTTCCCAGAAGTCACAGCTCAGCTCATGGCCCCCTGGAGCCTACATTTTGAAAAAGGGGCGGGGCAGGGAAAAAAGAGAAGGAGAAGGAAATAACAAAAATTAACAGTATTGAAGATTTTAATTCATGTCAAAATTTTTGCTGAGCTGCCATTTCTGAGAACTGCATCATTACTAGCCTACCCTTCTAAAACAAATACACAATTCAAGCTTTTATTATTTTTTTATTTTATATTTCTTTCAGAGTAAACACACACACACATTTAAAAAATATAGAAAAGCACAAACTAAGAGATAAAATAATCTGTAACCTACAACGTGAAGTAGCTAACTACTCTTAACATTTTGGTGTATCTTTCCAGCCTTTGTAAAATAACATATTCACCCATACTGAAGACTCCTTAAATGCAGAGGTTTTGCTAAAAGCTATTTCTCTTTGGAACATACATGTAGTAAACACTCAAATTCTGCCTAATAATTCCATTACAAGCAATTCATTTTAAAAGCCACAAATCATGGAAGATGCAATTAACTTGGCGCCCAACACTGGCCAACACTAAGATCACGATAATCACTCCATTTTGCAACCACATGACTTTCAAGGAAAATTCCATGAACTGGAATCAAATAGTCATTCTCAGTATGGATTATTTTACATGAACTCTGTGAGACCTTCTTTTATTAATATTTCTAGTCTATTAGTAGGACTCTGTGGGCTCCCTCTGGTGGTTAAACGTATGTCATTTCTTTCCTAACCAACACGTATAGCCACAGGAGTTACTTGAACTATAATTACCAACAAGTAACTAACTGGTATAGGTGATGTGCCTGTTGGCTAGAGAAGAACCAACTCTCTGAAAATGAGAGTTATATTTAGCTTTTTAAAAAAGAGGCTTTCAAATGCTATTCAGAAAGTTCCTGATTTAGAGAACTGTTCTTTCCTGATTTTTTTTTGGGGGGTGAGAAGGGGGGGGGGCATGGTTAAGTTTTTACTTCTACCTAGCTGAAAAATTATTCACAAACCATGGCACAAAGGCTACATTACAGCCCATGAGGTTTATTTAGAAATTCTGCAATATTAGTAAACCCTAAGTTCTTTTCATCATATGAGTTGTATAGTATCCTATGTACATATTTCCCTGGAACAGGAAAAGGCACACTAAATTTAGCATGTGCAACATTTTTTTAATTTATATGCCAAATACCAAAAATGTACAAATAAAGACATAGTTGGAAAACAAACTTATTCACCCAGTGAAGAACTCAGTCCACTCACCTGCTTGCCCTCTGGGGTAAGATTTAGCATTCCATACACTGCGACACTACTCTCAGTGGACAAGACCACTCCATTGTAACACTGACACTGTAAAAGATGGAAGCCCAAATTTAGTTATTCACATTTACATTAAAATACTGTAATGTCAAGGATGCCCTTTATCACCACTCCTATTTAACATTGTGCTGGAAG